ACAGTCATTATGTTAGTGTCCTGATTACGCTGATTGGCAGTGTTTGTGTTCTGGCTACAATGAACAACTGGATTGGTGTCCTAACTCCACTACACTGTGGGAATATATTGGTGGCTTGAATACATTGTACTGGGTAGGTGTTTTGGAGTCGTGGCTACAGGATTGCATTGGTGTCCTCATTACACTGTGTTGTGTAGCTGCTGTCCTGACTGCGCTGAGTAGCTGTGTTGGTGTTCTGACTACACTGAGTTATTGTGTTGGTGTTCTGACTACACTGAGTATGTATTGATGTTCTGACCAAAAGGGTAGCAGCTGGTGTTCTCCAAACGGGTTTTTAAAGTCACCATATTTATAGGAAATACTCAATCCAGCACTCGGGAATGTTTGAGAGAGGATGTTGTCTGAGCTCACAAGATTTACCTGGCTGGCGGTGTCCCGGAGACCATTAGGCCACTTTTCTTTGATGCATCACTGTGTGCCCTCCGGAAAAAGAATGAAGGAATCAGGTCCATTGTAGTTGGCATCACTCTTCGACGTCATGTGCCAGGTCTGCAGTGAATATGCTGAAAGCAACATAGATCGGTTTTGGTGTTCAACAAGACTGTGAAGCAGCTACCCATGCAGCACGGGCATACATTAATAAGGTATCAAATAAATAATCCCTGATTAAATTGGACTCTACCAACACGTTTAACTTAGAAGGGATACTACTCTCTGCGCAGTTTCTAGATATTTCCATTTCCTTCACTTCTATCGTGTTTGGTGAACACGAAATTGACTCATGTGAGGGTGTGCAACAGGACAACCCTCTCGCCCTTCTTTTTTTGTCTGGTCATTATGGAAGTCACAGAAATACTACCCTGACAGGCACTATAGAATCAAACCATACCCCCGGCCGGGATTGAACCCGCGGTCATAGAGTCTCAAAACTCCAGCCCGTCGCGTTAGCCACTAGACCAGCTAGCCACAATAAGATTCCTCCAACTAGGTATATTTCTACACCATAGGAAGGTTAGCACAGGCACCTCTGTGACCACAAATGCAAGTTTTTACAGACGAATCTCCAGCTAGCGTGGCCGTGACGAACTCTAGCTCAAGGCCACGGCCACGCTAGCTGGAGATTCGTCTGTAAAAACTTGCATTTGTGGTCACAGAGGTGCCTGTGCTAACCTTTCTATGGTGTAGAAATATACCTAGTTGGACGAATCTTATTGTGGCTAGCTGGTCTAGTGGCTAACGGACGGGCTGGAGTTTTGAGGGCTCTATGACCGCGGGTTCAATCCCCGGGCCGGGGGTATGGTTTGTTTGCAATCGTATCATTACGATTTCTTGAGTCACTATAGAATCTCTCGTAGAGGACATCAGGAAAATATAAGACTTTGGTGAGATCCGGCGATTATATTTAAACCCCACCAAATGAAAAGGTTTTTACCCAAACCACCGTTATAAAAGGGTATTAAGGTACTTTTCCAGGATGGACCAAATTTTTACCGCCTTTGGGATTCGGGTAATGCCTTACATTTAAAAAAAAAAAAAATTTCAATAATGAAACAATTTAAAGGAATGAACAATTATGCCTTTTACCACCCAGAACCTTTTCCCCTAAAACTCTCCTTGGATCTCCCCTTGGGTCCAATGCCATTGATCTGATTCTAAAAAAAAACAAAAATATCATACCTCAGGATGATGGAAGGCAGGATGAAAGACACTGATACACATGATGCCTTCTACCTACTCACCAGATACCTGTCCCTTTCAAAACTCATCTACTTCTTGAGATGCTCCCCAGCCTTCAACAGTCCAAAACTCAAGGAATATGATCTTTTCCATCTTCAAGGAAAAGATTCAGTACACTTTCTATCATGGACTTAAGAAGGGAGCCATATTCCTTGAGTTCTGGCTGCAAGCCTCACTCCCAATCAGGCCTGATCGGCTGGGAGTACATTAACTCACTCCCAGTCAGGCCTGACCGGCTGGAGTACATTAATTCTCCCAAATTGCTCTACCAGCTCTCTTATCCTCCTCCATAGCATCTGGTGAGCTACTAAAGCATTTTCTTCTGGACGGCCTTGGTGACTTAGCAGGAATACTGGATTCAAGCTGCACCAGGACCATTACCAAGTGGGAGACTCTCTTTGGTCCAGAGTCAAAACCCAGTGCAGAATTGGCCTACAAACAGTCGACACGGGATGGCCCTATTGCTGAAAGGATGCAAATCTGCCTCGCTGCCCCAGTTAAGTAAGTTTATTCAGGTATACACAAATAGTTACATAGATTATCATACATAGCAGCATATGTGTAAAGAACCTAGGATAACCCAAAAAAGTCAGTGACTTATTTCCTTTGGGGTCCTTTTAATACCTTATTATTATATTATAAAGGAGATAATATCTTATTATTATACTGTAAAGGGAATAATATCTTATTATCATACTATAAAGGAGATATACTAGGAATAAGGTAAAATTTGTTGATTATCTTTACATGTGTGTTAGCTAAAAAATTAAAAAATCATTCTCCTCCCTTTCTGTAGCTACATTCATCAGGCACCTTCTGGCTCTCTTCTTGAACTGGTTCATGCCATGACTGGCTTTGACATGCACAAGCAGTCTGTTCCATTCATTTATTGCTATGCAATAAAAGGTGTTTGGAGCCTGGCCAATGACTGTGGCTACTACAAAGTTGTGCTCTCTCCCCCTAGTACTATGATTGCTTTGGTGTGGGTGTGTGTGTGTGGGTGTGCGTCCTTGTGTGTATGCATATATTTGTACGCTCGTGTGCACATGTCCGTGCGTGCGCCCTCGTGTGTGTATGTGCGCGCGCGCACTAGTGTGGATGTATGATCCACTTAATATTTGTATTTATAACTCATTACAATTGTGACCAGGTGTGGACGTATCAGTGGTTCATTACTTTGTAATTTGTTCAATGACTGTAAACCATGTATAGGAGTGAAGCTGATTCATTACCTCTGTAACTTGCCATGATTAGTGACCAGATCTACCTGGAGTTCATTACCTTTGTAACTAGTTCAGCTATCATAACTTTGGGGTCCAGTCACTGGACCCATTATGTACCTTTGTAATCTTTTGACTACCGCCCACAGGATGGGTATGGGGTGCATAAAGATATTAAACTAAAGTGTGTGTGTGTGTGTGTGTGTGTGTGTGTGTGTGTGTGTGTGTGTGTGTGTGTGTGTGTGTGTGTGTGTGTGTGTGTGTGTGTGTGTGTGTGTGTGTGTGTGGTGTGTGTGTGACTCAACAATCAATATTTGCACCAATAACTCATTACAGTTGTGACCGGGTGTGGAAGTGTGAATTGCTCATTACTCTATAATTTGTTCATGATTGTAGCCAAAGTATAAACGTAAGTAACCATTCTAAAGAATTCATTACCTTTGTAACTTGTGAGCTCATTACCTTTGTACCTAGTTCAGCTATCAAAACTTTGGGGGCCCAGTCCCTGGACCCATTACGTACCTCTGTAATCTGTAAATACCTTTGTAACTTGTCATGATTGTGACCAGACTTACCTGGAGTTCATTACCTTTGTAAATTGTGAGTTCATTACCTTTGTAAATTGTGAGTTCATTACCTTTGTAAATTGTGAGTTCATTGCCTCTGTAACTTGCTCAGCTATCAAAACTTTGGAGTCCAGTCCCTGGACCAATTATGTACCTCTGTAATCTTTTGACTACCGCCCACAGGATGGGTATGGGGTGCATAATAAACATATTAAACTAACTCCCAACCTTCACAAAATTGGCAGCAAGATATTCTGGACACTGTTTGTGTGCAATTTTATAAACTTGATTTAATAAACGGAATATATGTGTATTCCTGGTGATATGAAAGCTGACCACTGTAGTCCATATGTCTAAACGGCTCCAAAACCAAGGATTGACAAACGAGACACAGTGAAGTCAACTACATGATCTAGAGAAACCTTTCTTCGACTGGGTTCCTGGCTGAGAGACAGCCTCAATTCCTAGCATCCAGCAAGTCTCACAATCCCTCAAACCACCCTGATGGGATCACCATATATTCCTGGAAAGATGGCAAGCTTATACCTGTGTGTCGACCCTGGATGATACCTACAGCTATCACAGGGTTGGGCAACAGGAAGGCGCTGCAAATCAAAGGGAGGAGTACAAGATCAGCAAGTATAGAGACATAAGCCATCAGTATCAATATGTCCTAGTGGGATCAGAGACCCTGAGATCACTGGGAAAGAATGCCGCATGTTTTCTCAAAGAACTGAGTTTCACTCTGATACCACTAGGGACCAAAGGGCGATCACTCCAGCATCTCAATGTGGCCATCCAGAGAGGAAATGCTTGCTGCATACTTGGCTCACATCCAGTTTCAGAATAGCTGGAGGAGATTCATATTTGATATATATATATATATATATATATATATATATATATATATATATATATAATATATATATATATAATATATATAATATATATATTATATATATATATGTTCGTGCCGAATAGGTAAAGTTGGTCAATTAGCAAGAACTCATTTAAAATTAAGTCCTTTCTAAAAATTTCTCTTACACGTTTAAAGATATATTTTTTTTTCATTTATACAAGGAAGGTCAGACACTGCAACATCATGGAATCTTGGTTCATAGGACATCTACAAGACCTTCTTCACGGCTGCTACAACACCCATCTCTTTGGGAAGGACCTACTTCCACTGGGAAATCCGCCTACCAGTGACTGTGTCCTCGTCTGCTACCCATCCCTATCCACTGACGCCTATATAACCGCCAGTCTTCATGCCTTTGCTCCAGATTCTCCTCCACCACGATGCTGTGAACACTAACTCCAAGGCTGAGGGACTGATTACCTCATCTTTTGTACATAGTTCTACTGTCTTCTAATTATGTCCTAGAATCTGTATTGATATTGAGGGGCTCTGGTGGCTTAGTGGTTAACGCTCTCGCTTCACACGGCGAGGGCCTGGGTTCGATTCCCAGCCAGAGTAGAAACATTGGGCGTGTTTCTTTCCACCTGTTGTCTATGTTCCCCATCAGTAAAATGGGTACCTGGGTGTTAGTGGACTGGTGTGGGTCGCATCCTGGGACACTGACCTAATTTGCCCAACATGCTCAGCATAACAAGTAGCTTTCTAAGTAGTAGTATGTCATTGTTGTCAGCGTAGGGAGACACTGGTCAGAGAAATAGCAAACATCGAACTTAAACTAAAGAAATCTTATAGGAGTCAGGAATCGCGGGAAGAACTAAAAGCCATAAATGAAATTGAAAGAAACCCAAAGTATTTCTTCTCCAATGCCAAATCAAAGTCGAGAACAACGTCCAGTATTGGGCCCTTACTTAAACAAGATGGGTCCTACACAGATGACAGCAAGGAAATGAGTGAGCTACTCAAGTCCCAATATGACTCAGTTTTTAGCAAGCCACTAACCAGACTGAGAGTCGAAGATCAAAATGAATTTTTTAAGAGAGAGCCACAGAATTTGGTTAACACAAGCCTATCTGATGTTATCCTGACGCCAAATGACTTCGAACAGGCGATAAATGACATGCCCATGCACTCTGCCCCAGGGCCAGACTCATGGAACTCCGTGTTCATCAAGAACTGCAAGAAGCACCTATCACGAGCCTTTACCATCCTATGGAGAGGGAGCATGGACACGGGGGTCATCCCACAGTTACTAAAAACAACAGACATAACCCCACTCCACAAAGGGGGCAGTAAAGCAACAGCAAAGAACTACAGACCGATAGCACTAACATCCCATATCATAAAAATCTTTGAAAGAGTCCTAAGAAGCAAGATCACCACCCATCTAGAAACCCATCAGTTACACAACCCAGGGCAACATGGGTTTAGAACAGGTCGCTCCTGTCTGTCTCAACTATTGGATCACTACGACAAGGCCCTAGATGCACTAGAAGACAAAAAGAATGCAGATGTAATATATACAGACTTTGCAAAAGCCTTCGACAAGTGTGACCATGGCGTAATAGCGCACAAAATGCGTGCTAAAGGAATAACAGGAAAAGTCGGTCGATGGATCTATAATTTCCTCACTAACAGAACACAGAGAGTAGTAGTCAACAGAGTAAAGTCCGAGGCAGGCACGGTGAAAAGCTCTGTTCCACAAGGCACAGTACTCGCTCCCATCTTGTTCCTCATCCTCATATCTGACATAGACAAGGATGTCAGCCACAGCACCGTGTCTTCCTTTGCAGATGACACCCGAATCTGCATGACAGTGTCTTCCATTGCAGACACTGCAAGGCTCCAGGCGGACATCAACCAAATCTTTCAGTGAGCTGCAGAAAACAATATGAAGTTCAACGATGAGAAATTTCAATTACTCAGATATGGTAAACACGAGGAAATTAAATCTTCATCAGAGTACAAAAACAAATTCTGGCCACAAAATAGAGCGAAACACCAACGTCAAAGACCTGGGAGTGATCATGTCAGATGGATAATGAGAACCTTCAAAACGAGGGATGCCAAGCCCATGATGACACTCTTCAGGTCACTTGTTCTATCTAGACTGGAATATTGCTGCACACTAACAGCACCTTTCAAGGCAGGTGAAATTGCTGACCTAGAAAATGTACAGAGAACCTTCACGGCGCACATAACGGAGATAAAACACCTCAATTACTGGGAGCGCTTGAGGTTCCTGAATCTGTATTCCCTGGAATGCAGGCGGGAGAGATACATGATTATATACACCTGGAAAATCCTAGAGGGACTAGTACCGAACTTGCACACGAAAATCACTCACTGACGAAAGCAAAAGACTTGGCAGACGATGCAACATCCCCCAATGAAAAGCAGGGGTGTCACTAGCACGTTAAGAGACCATACAATAAGTGTCAGGGGCCCAAGACTGTTCAACTGCCTCCCAGCACACATAAGGGGGATTACCAACAGACCCCTGGCAATCTTCAAGCTGGCACTGGACAAGCACCTAAAGTCAGTTCCTGATCAGCCGGGCTGTGGCTCGTACGTTGGTTTGCGTGCAGCCAGCAGCAACAGCCTGGTTGATCAGGCTCTGATCCACCAGGAGGCCTGGTCACAGACCGGGCCGCGGGGGCGTTGACCCCCGGAACTCTCTCCAGGTAAACTCCAGGTAAACAATACCATGCTGACACTCACCTCGCAATACCATGCTGACACTCACCTCACAATACCATGCTGACACTCACCTCACAATACCATGCTGACACCTCACAATACCATGCTGACACCACCTCACAATACCATGCTGAACCACCTCACAATACCATGCTGACACCTCACAATACCATGCTGACACTCACCTCACAATACCAAAAAAAAAAAATTTTCCAAAAAAAAAACAAAAAGGCCAAAAAAGGAAAAACCAAAGTAAAGACCAGGAAAGTAAAAAGGATAAGAGAATTTAAAAACGAGGGGCCAAGCCCAATAACCTTATATTTTTAAAAATATCGAACAACAATTTTAAAAAAGGAAAAAGGGTAAAAATGACGAAACTTCCGGCCCAAAAGGGGAATAAAAAAACCCCAATTAAAACCCTTAGGTTAATCGTTTCCCTAAAGGGGGGGAAAAAAAAAAGAAAAATCCCCCCCGACCAATTGAAAAAAAATCAACTACGAAAAAAAAAAACCCAAAAGCAAATCCCCCCCGAAAAACAAAAAAAAAATTTGAAAAAAAAGGACCCAAACGTTAATTAAAAAAAAAAATAAGGGGGTTTAAAAAAAAAAAAATTTAAGGGAAAAACAAACCAAATATCCGAAGGGGGGCCCAAAAAACCCCCCCAAAAAAAAACATCACTTGAAAAAAAGACCGGAAGAGGGGGGGGGGAAACCCCCAAAAACCCCCAAACCCCAAAACAAACCCCTGAAACCAAATCGAAACCACTAAAACCACCCCAAACCTGCGAAAACCTCAATACCACACAAAACCCCCAAAAGGAATCCCAAAAAAAAGGAAAAACCCACAATCCATGGACATCACAAAAAACGAACTCCCCAAAAATTTCCCCCCAAAACCAAGCTACACCCCCAAAAAGCACACCTCACAATCCATCTACCCCACAAACCACGACAACCCCACAAACCACTAACCCCCACAAACCCTGCCCACCTCACAAACCAGCTGAACCCCCCCAATACCAAAAAAAAACCCCCCAAAAACCAGGACACTAAAAATCCGGGAAAACCCAAATAAGGAAAAACCCAAATTGGAAACCCCCAAAAAAACAAAAAAAAACAGGCAAAAAAAGGGGGAAACCCCCAAAACCAGTAACCTCAAAACCAGTGAAAAACAAAAAAAAAACCCCTTGGGAAAATCAAATACAATCCTTAAAACCCACAAAAATTTTAACCCCCTAAAAAAAACACACCATTAAAAGGAAACCCCAAAAACCCGTAATAAAAACCTGGAAACTACCAAAAAGGGGAAAAAAAAAAAACCACAAAAATACCAAAAAAATCCCCAAAAAAACCCTTCCCCCAAAAAAAAATTTAAAGGAATAAATTGAAGGCCCCCCCCTTCCCCAACCTTTTGGCCCCACAAATGCTGAACCTAAATACCCCACACTCCCCACCCCAACCCCATATTTCCGTTCCCCTTTTTTGCCCAAAAAAAATTTTCCCCTAAAAAAGTTGCTTTAATAAAAACAGTTTTTAAAAAAAAAAAATTTCAAGGAACCCCGCCCCCCAAACCACTATCCTTCAACCCCCCCGGGAGGCTGGAAACAAACCCATAAGCACCCCAGCACCATTTAAAAGGGTCCGGGTGTTATGGGACTTTGGGGCGCCCGGACAAAATAAACCCCCGAAATTCCATAAAAGTTTTTGAAAAGCCTTCGACAAGTGTGACCTGGCGTAAAGCGCACAAAATCCCCAAAAGGAAAACGGGAAAAGGGGAAGGATCTATAATTTCCTCATAACAGAACACAGAGTAGTTCAACAAAAAATTTGGGGCGGCCGGTAAAAAGGGCCCCAAAGGCACAGTACCGCCCCTTTGTTCCCATCCTAAACCCGACAGACAAGGTTTCCCCCCCGGTCTTTTTTTTCCCCCGAATCTGATGACATGTCTTCCCTTGCAGACAGGGAAGCCCAGGCGGACATCAACCCAATCTTCAACGATGAGAAAAATTTTAATTCTCCGATTGTAAAAAGGAAATAAACTTCATCAGAGTAAAAACAAAATTCCCGGCCAAAATAAGCGAAAAAACAAAAGTCAAAGATGGGGGTGATCAGTCGGAGGATCTCACCTTCAGGACCATAACATTATATCAATTGCATACTAAAAAAGACAGGGGGAAATTTAATGAAAAAACCTTAAAAAACTGGGGAGGCCCCCCATGTGACATCTTTAGGTGCATTTCTATCTAGGCGGGAATTTTGCGCACACTAACGCACCTTTCAAGGCGGGTGAAATTACGACCTAAAAATGAAAAAGAAACCCTTTCAGGCGCGCAAAAGGGGAGATAAAAAAACCTAAAATTACGGGGACCCTTTAGGTTCCTAAAACTGTTTTCCCTGGAATGCAGGGGGAAGATACTTTATATACACCGGGAAAAATCCTAGGGGGATTACCGAACTTGCAACAAAAATCACTCATACAAACAAAAGATTGGGGCAGACGATGAAACATCCCCCCAATAAAAAGCGGGGGTGCACTAGCATTTTTAAGAGACCATCAAAAAAGGTCGGGCCCGAGATGAAAAAGCCTCCCAGCATACTAAGGGGGATTACCAATAGCCCCCCGGGCAGTCTTCAAGCGGGTTTGGGACAAGCACCAAAAATCGGACCTGACCACCGGGGCTGTGGCTGTACGTTGGTTTCGTGCAGCCACGTAACACCGGTTTGATCAGGCTCTATTCACCAGGGGGCCGGTCACGCCCGGGCCGGGGGGGCGTTGACCCCGGAACTCTCTCCAGGTAAATAACACGGCTTTCATAAGTAGCATTCTTTGGTGCAGCTATGGTCTGTGTAGCTTGTAATGTC